TTCATCCAGCTGTGCACCTTGTTATCTCAGATTCTCCAGCATCGGCAGTTCCTACTATCTCTGCCTGGAAAGTACGTACGTTTAAGTACTGTTTATAGACTGAAGCTTCATTGAAGTGTATTGCAAAGAAATTTTGGGATGAATCTATGCTTGTAGCTGTGCGCAGTTCGAGAGTACGATGCATCTTTATCTGAGCTTGCTTCATATTTTCGTCTAACCTATTTCTTATGGTCTCTGGCTCCCTCTGCAGGATCCTTTAGATCCCGCACGCACTGTTATTGTTATTCGCTCTTTGGTGGCTGGTGGGGTTGCTGAATGTGATGGCAGGGTGCTACCCGGGGATCGGCTCGTCTTTGTGAATGACTACAATCTAGAGAATACTGCTTTGGGGGACGCTGTTCAGGCTCTGAAAGATGCATCGACTGGCATAGTCCGCCTTGGCATCTGCAAACCAATGGTGGTAAGCACCAATAATATACGTGAACTGCAAACTTTTGATTGTTTCACAGCTATAAAATATTTTTTACTTCTACGGAACTCCTTTTGCAAATCAAAAACTTGCAATTTCTTTTGTTTTCATGTTTATTTACAGTTTTGCTTAAAATTGAATGTAATTCAAATATAACTGAAATAATTCTTTTTCTTCTTGTATGTCAACAGATTGTTATATTTCAGTAAGCTGCTTCAAATGTAATACATTACTTTACTATGTAATTCAGATTGAGACCATCATTGTTCCAGTTTGAGATAATCAAATGATTACACTTCAATATATGAAAGCATTCAAATTTTCTATAACAGGATAAAAATGAAAATATTAAGTTTGGTGGCTTTCTGTCTCTTAAAAAGCTCAAATGTTACAAATTTTACCCGACATCTTAAGCTATTTGCAATTTCTTTTTTTAAGATGCCTGAATTTTTTTGAAGTTGTGACTTTTTCTTCTATTAGGTAAATTGTGACTTTATTTACTTAATGGAAGAACCTGTTTGTCACAGGATGTTTCCTGCAGCCACCTATAAGCAACCCTGAAATGGATATGTATTTTTCACAAAGCTGTAATTGATAAAGAATTGATAAACAAAGAACAAATAAAGATCAAAGGACAGTACAGCACAGGAACAGGCCCTTCGGATTGCCAAGATGGGCCAATACATGATGCCTTTCTAAAGTAAAAGCCTTTTGCCTCTACTTGGTCCAAATTTCTCTTTTCTCTGCCTATTCCAATATCTATCAAGATGCCTCTAAAACATTATATCCTCCTCCATTTCCATCAGCACATTTCCATGCACATATCACCCTCTATCTAGAAAACCTGCCTCTCACATCTCCTTTAAACTTGCCCCCTTTCAACTTAAACCCATGTTCCTTAGAAATTGACACATCTACCCTGGGGAAGAGACTGACTATCTATCCTAACCGTGTTAATTTCGTAGCTTTGTATCAGGTGACTCTCATCCTTTGTTCAAGTGAGAATAAACCAAGTTTGTCCTATCTCTCTTCATAGTTAATACCCTGCAAATCGAGCAACATCCTGGTGAACTGTTTCTGTACCCTCTTCAAAGCTTCCACATCCTTCTTGAGGTGTGGCAACCAGAACTAAACGCAATATTCCAAATGTGACCTTATTAAAGTTCTGTACATCTGCGACATGACACACTCATTTATATACTCAATGCCTCAATTGATGAAGACAAGCATGCCATATGCCTTCTTGACCACCTTATCCACTTGTGTTACCAATTTCAGGGAACTGTGGACCTGTACGCCTGGATCCCTCCATATCTTGATGCTATTAAGTGCTGTTCCATTTACTGTATACTTTGGTTCTACATTAGATCTTCCACAATACATCACCTTGCACTTGCCCGGATTAAACTAATCTGCCATTTCTTCGCCTAAGTCTCCAGCCTACCTATGTTCTGCTGTATTCTCTGGTAGTCCTCCTCACTATCTGCCGCTCCCCCAATCTTTGTTTCATCCGCAAACTTACTTATCAGGCCACCTACGTTCTCCTTCAAATCATTATATATATTACCAACAACAAGGATTCCAGCACCATTCCCTGTAGAACACCACTGGCCACAGATCTCCAGTCAGAAAATCACTCTTCCACCCCTCTGTCTTCTATGACTAAGCCGATTCTCGATCCAGCTTACCAGCTCATTGTCGATCCGATGTGAATTCGCCTTTTGTATTAGCCTAGCATCTTGCTAAAGTTCATATAGACAGCATCTACTGCCCTGCCCTCATCAATCAGCTTTGACACTTGCTCAAAAAGTTCAATCAAATCTGTGAGACACAACCTCCCCCAAACAAAGCCATCCAAATGTGAGTAAATCCTATCCCTAAGAAGCTTCTCCAATAATTTCCCTATCACTGACATAAGACTCGCATGACATAATTTCCTGGAATATCCCTGTTTCCCTTCTTAAACTACGGAACAACATTGACTATCCTCCAGTTCTCTGGGAACTTTCCTGTGACAAGAGAATAAAAAGATTTTGGACAAGGCCCCATAAAATTCCCCACCTGTCTCCCTTAGCCTTCTGGAATAGATCCCATCAGGACCTGGGGATTTATCTACCTTTAATGCTTTTAAAAACACCGAGCATCTTTTTTATATTGACTTGCCCTAAAATATCAACATATCTCTCCTGAGGCTCAACAGCTACAATGTCCTTCTCCTTTGTGAATACTGATGCAAAATATTCATTAAGGACCTCACCCACTTCTGCTGACTCCATGCGTTAATTCCCTCCTTTGTCCTGAGTGGAGCTACCCTTTCCCTAGCTATCCTCTAGCTCCTTATATATGTGTAAAATACCTTGGGATTTTCCTTAATTCTGTTTGCCAAAGACATTTCATGGCCCTTTTATCCCTCTTAATTTCTTGTTTCAGTTCTTTTCTGCGATCTCTGTATTATTTGAGGGCTCTGTCTGTCTTCAGTTTCCTAAGCCTTATGTATGTCATCTTTTTCTTTTTGAATTTCTCTGATCATCTCAGGTTCCTGAATCTTGCCATCCTTATCCTTTATTTTCTCAGCAGCGTACTGGCCTTTATAAGATTCCCACATGACAGATGTGGATTTACCCTCAAACAATTGCCGCAATCTATCTTCACCTGAGGACTACTCTTATCTTTATTCATAAGTAACTTTGTCAGAAGTCACCAAACACCAGGTTGTAGTCCAACAGGTTTATTTAAAATCACAAGCTTTCAAAGTGCTGCTCATTCATCAAGGGGAAGGAGATGCACAGGCACAGAATATGTAGGCGGAAAGATAATGGCAAGATAATTCCACGTAATTAAGAGTGTCAACATATGAGTACAAATAGTGTGAGTAGAGTGTTGACAGGCTGAGTAACAAGTGAAGGGATGATCTATGAACTGATTAATTAAGGCTGAGAGATAAGTACAAATAATCGAAAATAAGACGGTATTAGAGACAAGCCAAATGGCTAGAATAACATGAGTAAGTATTAGAGTGGCATGACAAGGGTCTAACCAAATATCAAGTAATCAGAAACTAAACAAACTAATTACTTGTGATTATCTCTCAACCTTAATTAGTTTGTATAGTTTTTGATTACTGACAAAGGAGCAGCGCTCCGATAGCTTGTGATTTTAAATAAACCTGTTGAACTATAACTTGGTGTCATGTGACTTTTGATTTTGTCCACCCCAGTCCAACACTGACATCTCCACATCATAAATAACTTAATACTTATTGAATTATGGTCACAGTTCCTGAAATACTCCCCCACTAAAACTTTGATCACCTGGCTAGGCTCATTCCCCAATACCAGTTCAGTAGGAAGTTGAACTCTTTACATGGTATTTCAAAGAACCATCCTGGACACACCTTAAAAATTCCACCCTCCTCCAAAATCCCTGGGTACTAAGCAAGTCCCAGTCAATATGGGGAAGTTAAAATCACCCTCTACGACAACCCTGTTGTTTTTACATTTTTGTGTTATCTGTCCACGTATCTGTTCCTCTATCACCTGCTGGATATTGGGATACCAGTAATACAATCCCATTAAAGTGATGGCACCTTTCCATTTCCTGAACTGTACCCGTATGGCCTTGCTGGATGAGCCCTCCAAGGTGTCACCCCTCAGTACAGCTGTGATATTCCCCCTGATCAGTAATACAACTCACCCCACCTCTTTTACAACTCTCTGTCTTGTCTGACACATCTAAATCATGGAACATTCAACTGCCAGTCTTGTCCCTCTCTCAACCAAGTCTCTGTAATTGCTAGTACATCACAGCTATATGTATTAATCCAAGCTTGAAGTTCATCTGCCTTGTCTCTCATACTCCTTGTAATAAAACAAATATACTTCAGACCTGCCATATTCAGTAACCTCTTCCTGTCTGTTCTTCCTCTTAACCTTACTGGCCTTAGTCTCTGACTCCTCCTCAGTTGTTTAGCTTGCTGACCTACTGTTCTGATTCCTGCCCCCTGCGTCACGAGTTTAAACCCACCTGGGTGGCACTAGCAAACGTCCCTGCCAGGATATCGATGCAACCTGTCCTCCTTGTACAGATCCCACCTGCCTGGAAGACATCCCAATGATCCACATGCCTGAAGCCATCCCTCCTACACCAGCTCTTTAGTCACATATTTAACTGTACTATCTTACTATTCCGAACCTCACTGGCAAGTGACACAGGAAGTAATCCCAAGGTTACAACCCTAGAAGTCCTGCTTTTCAACTTTCTACCTAACTCCCTGAACTCCCATTGTTGGATCTCATCTCTCTTATTGCCTGTGTCATTAGGACCAATATAGGCCCATGACCTCTGGCTGCTCACCGTCTAGGGAGCAGCACTAAGGAGGCAACGCTCAGAGTCTCACTTGTGGCCACGGAAACGCTTATCTCTGCCCCTGACTATACAGTCTCCTTTCACTACTGCTCGCCTACACTTCAATCCTCCTTTGCTAGTCATGGGGCCATTAATCTGGTTGGATGAATTAACATCAAATCTTCAGGTTACAGGTGGTCAAAGTGTAATCCCTATCAGGGGCATCACATGAAAAGAAATGGGTTTACTTTTAAAATACTTCTTAAAAAAATTTCCTTCTGTTCTCCCAAAGATGCTGTGATAGATTTTTATATGTTTTGTGTCTGCATTGCACTGAGTAAGATTAACACAAAGTCAACTGCAGGCAGCCGTTATTGAGTAAACTCTTTGCCTTCTCTGTTGGGTAAATATACAATGTAACAAAATGGTCAGATATTGTAACATACTACACTATGTCAGCAATATACTACACTCTGTCACAACATATTATCATCGAAATATAAAAAAGATACACAAGTGCTAGAATACAAAATGATTAAATGAGATTACCTGAATTTAAGAGAATGGATTTCATATTTGTTTACTGTATTCACAACCAAAGCACGTGACCACTACTGCCAGAGTAATTTGCACATAAAACTGGTTGT